ATAAAAATGCAGTTTGTTTATTAGGGAGAGTGGTAAACTGCAATATAGCATTGGCTCAAGCGGTATTCGATCTACAAAACTTAATGTGCTGGAATCAACGAACCCGATTGACAAGAAAAATATAACAACACTGAAGTGAGGTATAGGTGCCACACGGCACTCGACATCTCCTGTGTTGTAGAGAAAACCTAGAAAAGGCCGATTCCTCTGAAACATTAATAACAATGAAATTACATAAAGCAAAACGGACAATAGGCAATAATTTCTTGTGAATTTTGAAGTTCACTTACATGGTTTAGCGTCGACCTAGTGATTCGACATATTGTTATATGTTTGACACTTAAAATGTAGATATATGTATATTTTGAAACCATTTTTAAGCCACTGGACAATATATTTGTTGAATGTTTTATTAATTATTTGACCTTAAATACTAAAACCATTAAACCATTGCAAAATTGGAAAGGGTTTGAACAAGTATTGCGAGTAAATTTTCTTGTCTTTATTTTAATTTCTAAATGATTTTTCTTGTTTGTAACAAACATCGTATTAAAAAAAACAAAAAACTCTTAAGTGCATATAGAATAACAACTCAAATTTAAATAATTTGCTCTCTCTCTCTCTCTATTGTCTATGATAGACGAGATATACGAACAAAGGGCGGTTTACCTGTTTCGATCGGCCGCAAATGACCATTGCACAACTTTGATTATAATCGTGTGTCCATTTTATTTAGCTGAATGCAATTATACAGTAAATTTCAAAGATAGACAAACAAAGGTTAGCAACCCTGTTTGAAAGTAAAAAAGAAATAGATTTATTAAAAAAAGATGTTGTGCAGATCTTTCCTGTAGGTTGAACGTTTTGAGTTTCCGTACATTGAAACTTACACATAACTATGCTAAGCATGTTCACTCAATCAACTTAAACTTATTATGTCTAGATTCTCGACAATGTCAAAAAGATAAACAGTACCGCAATAGAAGTACAGAAGAGTTTTCACAAAGTAAATAACAATTTCATCGATCAACGAACGTTTTGAGTTAAATATGTAGATAACAAAAGTGTAAGAAATAAGCAATAACATCAATGCGCCTCTGACAATCTAGGAATTGAATAGGGAATGAACTTAGTATTATAATGCTCTGAGTACAGTTCGTCTATTATTCAAATATGATTTAAAACTATTCAGAAAAAGTAGAAGCTTATTCCAGTTGCCTAAACTCCCAAACCAAACGCAAACCTCTATTATTGCAAGGCACCTATTCATAAGATATGTGATAGATAGCCTTGTAACAAAAAAAAAACAAAACAACATACCCACACATGAATATCATTAGCTCTTTGGAGCTATTCTGGGGTAGATGTCTCGAAAGCCTCGTATCCCTTACGACGTTTGTAACACTGGCGTAAGGTCATCGTTGCATTTTTTCTGGTTGTCTCGGAGAGTTCGTAATTTACGATATATCTTAAACATCTCGTAAAGTTACGGTAAAAAAATGACCCCATAGCAGCATCGTAAGTCTACGATTACGAAAAATACAAAAAATGAACATGCTTGAAAAAAGGTAATACATGTATTGACGGTTCATCTACGAAGCAAAAAAAATGGCAAGAAATTTGGTGTTGTTACAACATCTACACCATCAGAGACAGAGAGTCCCTCGTGTTTTCAGGGACAGACAGAACCCATTAGATTACATGGACGATGACAATCTAGTGAAGAACTATCGTCTTGATAGACATTTAATTTTAGAGCTTTGTGCAGAAATAGGTCAGGGGTTGGAAAGACCAACCAGAAGGAACCATTCGCTTCCGGTTTCTCTACAAGTTCTGATATCTTTGCGATATTACGCTACCGGAAGTTTCTAGTCTGTTATAGCGGACTCTCATGGTGTTAAGCTTAACTCTGTGTCAAGGAGCATTCATTCTGTGTCTCGAGAGTTAAGTCTAAGATTAAGTCGTTATGTCAAGTTCCCAGATGGAAGAACGCAACAGTTAGATGATATCAAGGACGGTTTTTTTCACAACATCGCCGGATTTCCGAATGTAATTGGTGCGGTGGATGGGACGTTTGTGGCCTATTAATAGCGCCAACAGAGGACGAACATTTATATGTAACCAGAAAAAGGATTTCATGCTATCAACATGAGGGAATATGTGATTCACAGAACATTTTTCTGAATGTTGTAGTACGTTGGGCCGGGCTCTTCGCACGACGCGTTTGTCTGGAACAAGTCTGAAACTGCAATGCTTCTCAATGAAATGATTACGGTTACAGTTGGTTGTTAGGAGACAGTGCAATATCCTTTGAAAAGATATTTACTTACTCCTGTGATTAACCCCACAACACAAGGACAAATTCGATACAATATTGCACACACAAGAGAACACGCTGTATTATCGAGCGTACCTTGGACTCTGGAAGATGCGATTTAGATGCTTGCATAAATCCGGGCGCTATCTTATGTACAGTCCTCAAAAATGTGTTAACATCATTTCATCAACTGTTGTTCTTCATAATATTTGCGTTAGGAGAAGCATTCCGATTCCAGACAGCAATATGGCAACGATGATGATGAAAATGATGATGATGGCGATGAAGACGATGATGATGATGACGAAGACGCAGAGAGGAACCATGCTGATGGTCGACAAGTGCGTGACGAATTAATTCGGAATAAGTTTTGCACTTAGCTATGCGTAAACATATTATTGTAGATTATGATGTATTATGTGTTGTGATTTTTTAATATTTCGAGATAAACAGTGCAGAAAAATGCCATGAAAATACGAACATCTGTATGCAGGTCAAATTTAACAATTATAACTTATCAACTTATATTAAGCATAAAATTCCATTCCATGTTGAGTGATTGTTATATTTTATAACTCCGAAGGTACGCGTGTTAAATTACCTTGTGTCCAAGCGTCGGTTTAGCTAACATTTTTGACAAATTTGTCATTTTTCTATTTTTATTAGCAATTAATGATTAATTTTTCATACAATTTTATGGAATTACTTTATTTATTCTTTTGAATTCATCCCCGTGATTATTTACTGTTTTTCAAGCTACTGCTATGACACTTGTTATAAATGGAAAAAAAAACATTTAAATTAATATTTAACATTGGCTTCTAACAAGTGCGAATTGGTGAAAAATCATAATATTGATATAGTTGAAGAGACTTGCACTAATTGGTCTAGTTTCTAGATAATCTTCAACTATCTGTTATTAACCAGCGAAGTCAGAAAGGACGTCAACATTCAGTACCAAATGCCGCACATTTGTTATGTATCGAAGTACCTCGTTTATATCAACACATGATGTTACTAGAGATGTCACGGTAGCTGATTCAATTTTTCTCCAAAATGAACGTGATAATATGATGCTTTTGAATACTGTACAAACTCTCGGAATAGTTGACAACAGTTCATCAATAGGTAACCAGCGCAAAATGTCTTCCCAAATTATCTGCAATGGAAAAAGTGTTAAGTTTAATTACAGAATTTTGAAGGAAACAAAACTATAAACTAATATACGAAAGACTGGATAATTAATCATTCCACTTTATATTACCGGTGAAATACACCTAAATCTAATCAATGAACTTCCGGCAATTGTAGGACGTGATGTTATAATACATACAGAATATTATGTTGCAATTGCTTTCTGAGGCTTTGTATTTTGCTACAATTGATATCTCGCGAGACCGAAGGTCGAGCGAGATATCAATTTTCCAACCTCGCGAGTAGACAAATACATAGCCTGAGAAAGTTACTACAGTTTTTCTTTTATTATATACCTTTTTGTTTTATTCAGAAAATGAAAAAATAAATTCGTGACTGACGGATGAATACTTAATTTTCGGAAAACCGTCCACGCCTTTAAAAATTTTGGTTCCCGTTTCCAAATGCAACTTCATTCAAAGCTAAGATAAGAACCAACATAAAAAATAGTCCGACACTTCCATATATGGTACCGTATTTGTCATACCATACCATTGTCATAACATAATACGGAATTTTCTATCCGTTGAAGCGTATTTGCGCTTCAAGATTTGTGTGTATTTTAGGGAGAAAATTTATAGGTATATATTGATTAAGTTCAATAAAATACATTTATGCTCGCCAGATGCTCGCATTATATATTTTCAATCAACTTGTTCAATAAATTCAGTATTGAACTTATACTCATTCAATATCCTCTATTTATTGGATTCCATCTTGTCAATTTACACTCATTTTCATTTCAAGAGTAAAAAAATCCACATCAAATTTATAATGTACTCACTAAATCCTCCTTTTCGTTTTTTGCGATTCAAAGAGTTTATAACAAATGCAAATTAAACTCAAGAAAGATCGAGCCTCGTTTTCATTTTGCAAGTTCAAAAGATCCATATCAAATCCATATTGTACGCAAAGACACAAAGTTCTGTCAAAATGTTAAAATATTGATTTTCTTTACGTACGTACGGGTGTTTTTTCTATTAAATTGAAAGGAAATATGTTGTATTTACTTAATGCTAACTACTGATTTATATCTGTGAAATAAAATCAATATCACCCACATATCACCCACATGCCGTCACTCAAACGATGACTGAAATAGCTTTGTCGAACTTGATTTGGCGTGCGTTTAAATTTTCATGATTCCGTAAACTTTAATTTACATTATAGGTAATTGTTTGTTTTGTTTTTATGGCATATTTTCATATCAATTCAAATATCATTTTTCATCTAAAATAGATAAAAAAAACTCACTGCGATAGTGACAATATACATGAAATACTTGTGTTTGCGCAGCAGCGTTCGAATAGCCGTCATATTTAAGTGCATTTGTATAACGCGCAGTTAAAAATTGCTGTTTTTTCACTATTCATGCATTAAATAAAAAATGAATTGCTTTTCATGATTATGCATATACAATTTGTTAATGTGAGAAAATAGTTAAAACTACTGACAGTATTTAAACATAAAGATACCAAACATTACAGGTTCATGTAAAATGTGGATTCCTCTTCTCCAGTCTGTTCTTGATGATTTTCTCAACACCTAAGCGCTCCCGTTCTATGTCGAGCCTGCTCTGTTCAATCTCAAGACGTTGCCTCTTTATTACCAATTTCTCTCGCTCCAAATCTATAATGTCGCTATGAGCACCCCCTGCCAAGGCCTTACATGTAGTTCTCTTTCCACAGTTGGTGTTCATGGATGGAGTAGGTTCTTTTAGGTTGAGTGGTTTTGGGGTTGAACTTTTAACAGAATCCCCAACATCTACAAACTGAACGGAACTGTCACTATCATCATCTAATTCAGCCAGATAGTTGTAACTTTGCGAGGTGTTGTTTGCACTATTCATCTCGTTGCTTTCAGGATAAACGGCCGAGTCTCGTCCACCAACAATACCCTCGATAGCTGTAACACCAATTGTATCTAGAACAATTTCTTGTAAAGGACTTAACGGGAATGTGTCTCTGCTCCCGCCGCCAGTCCTTTGTTGACTTTGCTTTATTTTAGATCCCTTAGAAAAAATAGCGGATGACCAATCACTCCACTTCTTTCTAACTTCTGTGGAACTTCTTTCACAGGACGAAACTGAATTAATTTTTGCTGTTATTTGAACCATTTTTTTTTTGTTTTCTTTTCATTTGTTAAAATGTCGGAAAATTAGCTGAAAAGAAGTGTTTTGCTGTCACTCACCTCTCTTGCAAGAACTTCAAGCTCATTTATGGAAAAATTCGGTCTCCTTTTTCTTGATTCCGCCATTTTTCTCTAAACTAATTTCAACTATGATGTGAAATACTGCAAAAAAAATATGCATCAATATGAAAACCGTGCTATATTTGAACTACACAAAGTCACCTTTGCATATACGATGTCGTAAATTACGTTTGAGAAACGAGATCGTTAAGGTGTCCTTCCAGACAATGAAATAAGGACACCTTAGTTATACCTTAGCAATCTCGTAAGTTTAGTCACAACTTTAAGATACGAGAATTTTTCGAGACAACCACCCCAGTTGGTCTCTAACTTTATAATTCCAATCCATACACACATATGTAAAATGGCTGCGCAGATGACCTCCTAAATAGACTAAATAGAATCAATGGTTGTGTATTTTAGCTGTCAAATCAATGTTTAAAATGTCGTAGATTATTACCATGGTTCAGAAGATCATGTGCTTATAATGTGACAAATTTTCGAATAACAAAAGTTTATTAAGAATAAGCAATGATTCAAACGTATCTGCCGAATACATTTGTTTAACGTATTTATTCTGAGAAACAAATAAGTTGATACTAATTGATGTTATGTTTTTGTTGCTATAATTAGTGTGTTACTGTAAGTGTAACTGTAAAAATGTTAAATAAGTTGTTAATTTAGGCAAAACGTAACGTAATTGCACCTTTTTTATATTCATAAAATAAATGTTATTCACTTTAGGAATACTATCCAAATATTTGTCAGTTTCAATTTATCTTTGAGAAAGTCTCTGCTGAATCTAAACAAAGACAAACCAGACGGCAAAAATATCGTTATTCCTCTGAGGTATCAATATGTAGATGTTAATAATAGTATTTAGCATCACATAAAATGTGCAGAGAAAAACAATTCCTGGGTGATTGGATCACGTCTATTCATAAAGTAGAGAGAAATAAAGAATCCTTAAAGAAAGCCCAACAAGACAAAATTGAAAATGTTGCAGGCTCGGTTTGATTGAGTCTGTTCATGGACGGTAATGGAATGTGCAAGTTCACGCCCCTAGCACCGGCCTGGGCAGAATTCAACATTTAATCTACTGGTACTGGTGAAATTTTGAATTTAGAAACATTCGCAGATATGTTCATAATATGATGCTGTAGAGACAAATATATACCTTTTCAGATTTAATCTAAGCTTTATATTTATATTATTTTATTATTATTATTATTATTATATTTATATTAAACAAGTTACAAGACAAATAAAAAGTAAGTGCATTTATTGTCAGTTTAAGTACATACTCGTACATGTATTTGATTCACAAAGTCAACTCAATAAAGATGAGAAAAGAGGAAAAAGTCGCTGTGTCGTTTAATAGGAGTTTAAGAGGCATTCCATTGTATTTTCTTCAAATATTGTATTTGTATGGACTCCCCCCAAAAAAGAAACAATATTTTTGTTAAACTTAATCATGTTTTTGTAACTGATAAGAAGTTTTACACTGATAACATAATTTTATTTCTAACTTGATTATTCATTTATTTTTATAGCATTGTAAAAGTTGACGGAATGATTTTGTTTTATGAATCAATTCCTAAAATAATTACGTAAATATGAAATGCATTTAAGATGAAAATGTTAAACATATTTTAACTTATATACATTTTCAAAACGTCATGTTTATTACTGACACAAGAGTGTAAAAAACATTTAAATGTTATGAAGATATGTCCAATAGTAGTTTGATAAAATTTATCAACAGTAAAATAACGTTATGTCTATTATATTATGATCGGTCCTCTGTAACTCTGAATGAAACACATACAAATTGTACATCATAGAATAAATGATCCGGCTGATAATTTAAGTAGTGTTTTAACCATAAAGCAATGCTTACATGCATGCACCGGTTGCCTAATAATGAAATGGACAGAAATATTCCCTTTTAAAGACGCATACACTAAATCAGTTTCAGGTATTTGGTATCTCAAATTGTAGTCAGCAAATTACCGGTAGTGTTAAAGCACGCAAATGTCAAAAAAGACCAGTAACAATAGTTGACTGTTTCATGAAAACTGTGATTTGCCTATTTTCTGTTTCATTGCCTATTTAGCCCCTCTAACATAGATTACACGCTGATAGTGAAAAATATGAAAACATTAGGTCCACAAGGAAATGTGGCATTCACTGAACGCATGCCCCAACACAGTACCACCGGAAAGGAGCCCAACAGGACACCATGCATGACAGGACGAACGGGCAAAAAAGGAAGAAACACTACCACAAACTATTCAAAATAGGAAATTATAACAAAAGATAAAAACATTTATTTAAAGTAAAGCTTACTGAATATGATACATTTGGTTTGAGAGACAAATTAGATAGTTGGTGTGTTTAATTTGTAATAGGCAGTTTTTCTTCAAAGATCTGCCGATTGAAAAACATTGTTTACATTACTTAATATCTTAACATATGTACTTCAAGAAAGCAGTAAAGTTAAATTCGTAATTTACTTATACTTGGATATGTGCATCCTTTCAAGAAGAAGATGTAAGGACGTTTAGTACTTGAGGCTCATTTCTTAGCAATTCATTGGTTAGAAGAGGATTAATTTCAGAGCTCTGACTGCTAACGAAACCGCAAAATACTTAACCAAAATAAAATCCAGAAAAGGAAAATATGAACAAGAGGGCCATGATGGCCCTGAATCGCTCACCAGAAACAACTGTTTTTCAGTGATTATAGAAATAATCTTTCAAATAAACTTGTTGAAACACAAATCCAGCTCATCTTCAACTTACCTCTCTAGTAATTATGTTTACCCACATTGATTTTTTTTCTCTTTATAGTAAAAAGAACCAAGTTTGGTGATCATCCATCCATTAGATTTGCCTATGACTGTCTTTCGAAATTGTGATTTTTCTTTTGTTTACTTATCTTAAAAATTAGACAATTACATAATCTCAGAATTTAGATATTCATGTATACTGTTTGTCAGGATGACACCACCGGCCAATATTTATTTAAGATAACATAGGTATACTAGTCAACTTGACCAGAAAGTTAACGTTTCAGGTTGAATTATTTTACTCTCTTAAACCACTACATGAATAGAGGAATTTCAATATAACTTGGCACAAATGTTCACTTTTGCAAGGCAAAGTGTCGCGTGTAAAAATCAGGTCCCTCTGGCTAGGGTCTAGGTCACATATAGGGGTCAAAGTTCAGATAAAATATGAAAATGTGTATTTGGACAATTTAATTATCATTTATTGACGGATTGAAACACAAATGATCATGACTACGGGTGAGATACATGCAATTTAGGTTAATATATGAAAGGTCAAGGTCACTAAAGATGAAAGAATATAGTGATTTTAACCAGAGCATATCTTCCACATGCATGGTGGGATTCTAATGAAACTTCATAGAAATGTTCACCACTATGAGAAGCAGTGTCACGTGCATGAACCAGGTCTCTAGATTAAAGATTAAGGTCACACTTAGAGGTTATTGAAAATGCTTGTTTGGAGCAAAACTTCTACATTCATCCGGGGAATTTTTATATTATTTGGCACAAATATTCAACATTTTTAGTTTTAGGCTAAGTACTGTGCGCATAATCCAGGTCCCTCCTTCCAAAGTCAAGGTCACACAAAGAGGTCAAAGTTTAGATAAATTAGAAGATGTGTACATGAACCATTTAGTCATCCTGAATTTTATAGATGGATTAGAACACAAATGAACTATCATGACCACAAGTGTGACATGTAATTTAGGTTAATATTTGCAAGGTCAATGTCACTAGAGATAATTAAATATCCAAATATTTTCCGGATATTGCCCATAGCATATCTCCTATATGTATATTCATAATGCCCACATCTCTGTCAAACGTTTTTGTTACGGGCGTATTTTGCGACAATGTTGCCCTTGTTACAAAAATGAACTTCTAGACCTATAAAATAGAGAAAAACAGAATCCCTAAAGAAAGTCCAACACAACAAAATTGAAAATGTTGCAGGCTCGGTTTGATTAATTAAGCCTGTTCATGGACGGTACTGGAAAGTGCAAGTTACGTCCAAAACTAACTTCGCTGGAGTCAGTGATCTCGAAGTATTAGAAAATTTAACAACACTGAAGTGAAGAACGCACACTTTCAAATTGATTTGTACATGCCTTTAAATATTGATTGATTGATTAACATTTGGTAGGTAGATAATATTTTGGCTCCTCTGACGACCATTTGTAAATGTTTGCACTATTGCTATGCATTGGCTGACAGTATGCCTATTGAAATTCAATAACAGAAAACAACCTTTCGCGATTCATGAACATTATAACAAGTATATCATAGCAGGTTGAGATGTACATAAAAATTATAAAGCTATGTTTTAATTAGTAATCTTAATATGTTGTTTTTTTATATTAAATTCACGGATTTATTTGAATATTTGAGATCTGTTTAATATCATGAAAACAAACCGTTTTGAAGGCATAAATGCAATCAGCACGTTTAAATTTTAACGTGAAAGAAACTTACTGGACTTTAGGTAGGATAGTAGATACATGTACACAAACATATAATTTAAAACACCATAAAAGAAATTATTTGTGATCGTATTTGTAATCAGATGGTTTCTTACTAAAGCACCATACACTGCGATTTTACGGTTTTTATAAAAGTTCTAGTACATCATGTTTTTGTTTCATTTTACCTTGAATTCGTTTGCTTTGATGCGGTCATGCAATGAGCACACATTTCCAAAATATATCCAATGATAAATTACTTTCATTGCTGTGTTGCGTGTTTAACAATCATTGGCAAAACACTTAACTATCGTCATGTTTCTACGATATTATTTTCACACAATGCTCTCGTTTCATTTCCTTTCCTCTTACATCATGCACGCGTGCAAATGG